GGGGGGTCTCACCAGAGCAGAGTGGCAGAGTCACCACCCTTGCCCTGCTGGCCGCGCTGCTTTTGATGCAGCCGAGTGCACATTACCAGCTCATGTCCAGCTTCTGGTCAAACAGCACCTTCAAGTCCTTTTGCTCAGGGATCTTGGGCATGCAAGAAAAACAGCGGTTTCTTTGCGATGCCAGAGCTCTGGATAGAAACTCATGCTTCCCACTGTTGCAAGGCATGTTTAAAAAACCAAGAATCTAGAGAAAAAAGCTCCTTTGACCAGCTTATGAGTGAGCAGCCATCAGTCAGTTCTGGAGGGGAGGACCCATGGCACGGGCTTTTTCTTTCATGCAGTGCTTTTGATGTCTGCGTTGTCAGTTGTGTTGTCAGTACAAGCAGTCGTTCTAAACTGTAGGTGCTGAAGATAAGTGATGAGGATCTTCTGATGTTTTGAGGTTTGTTCTGAGGAGATGTAGATAGCTTGTCAAATCAGTGGTGATGCTTGTTTTCCGTATTACAGAAGTTTTTAGAGGTTATGTGCTGCCTGAGAAGTCAGTGAATTCACAAATAATCTAGTTCGAGGCCCTTGTATATATGGACATCGTGTGGGCAGAGATAGAGGGCATTTTAGCACTGGCAGAATCCTAGCAGGGCAAAATTTGGACAAGAGGGTGCAAACCTAAGAGATGCTAAACCCGTGATTTTTTAAGAGGACTTCTGATGGTGACAGCGCTGGAGGGATTTGGTAGGTTTGGCACTCTTGGGGTCTGGTCATCCTGTCACATTTCCCACCTGCAGTCCTGGGCTCTTGTCTCCCTGTGGGGTGTTTCTACCCCAGAAACTGGGGGCCTCTAAACCTGTGGGGTCACTTGCAATATCACACTGTGGAGAAAGCATTTGCTTTACATTCAGCATCTCCCTCATCTCTAGTTTGAACTTGCTATTATTTACTTTGCTCTTTTTTTTTTTTTGAACCTTTTCAATACAGCCAGTCTCTCTGCTCCTTCCTGCCTGCCCCCAAACCCCAGTGCTACAGGCATTACTTCACTCATGGCTGCAAGCTGGGGTTGTGCTGTGTCCCTTCTCTGCCTTTATTTGAAAATGTAAAACAGAAACTCAGAGGAGAGCATGGAGAGGGCTGGGGGAGGGGGAGCTAACAAGCTCAAAGTTAGGCTTCTTTGGCTTCAAAAGAGGAGTTGAGAAACTGTGTTAAACTTCTCCAGAGAATATGTTTAAGATGTTTGGCAGGGAGCAGATGCGCAATCCTGGCAACACCACCGACGGCTCCGTAGCTGTGTGGTTGGGAGCACATCGTACCTCTGAAGCACAGGCTTTCCTGGTGGGCAGGGAGCCTGTGGTGAGAACATCCCTAGCATCCCCACCTGGTCAAAGTGGTGGAGGTCGAGGACTGTTAATTCGGCTTGCAAAGTAATTTGGAAAGGTACCTTGCCATGCTGGAGAGCAGTGGTTTCAGGCACACGGCACAACACACAGAGAAAAGGAAAGTTTTCTGTCTCGTGCATCTAGTGTTTTATAACATGCTTGTTTCCCTGCCAGCGTTGATCTGAAGAAGTTTCTTTGGAAATTGGGCCAAGTTTGTGTTTGGAAAAAGACAGATACTTGCAAGCTTCCAAAACTGCAGTTTGATGCAGAATTCAGTTAAGCTCTCAACTTTCCTCTGCTGGTGTGGAGCTCCTTAGTCTGACTTCACTCAGCAGAAAGGAGACTTGTTGCTGTCTTGAGGGCCATCCTGACCCCAAAGGGTGGGGGGCTGGGGTGCAAGTCCTCAGCAGGGTGGTGCTCTAGGTCTGGTGGCCTCCCAAACAAGCCAGAGGTGCTGGGCTGCTGGACTCCACCGCTCACCACCTTTCCTCAGCAGTGGACCCTACTCCCCAGCCAGACACCGCTCCCCTCACTTTTGCACACTCTCCTGTGCAGTCCAGAAGGGGGTTTGGTTGCAGAGGTTTTGGGGACAAAGCAAGCCAGTCCACAGCAGTGCTGCAGTGGTGGGGCCAAAGATCTGGGGTTTTCTGGGACATGGATGGAGCAGTGTCAGTGTCCAGCTCTCCCCTGTTTCTCTGGGCTGGAGAAGGTCTTGCTGCTTGGCCTGCCCCCACTTGGGTAGTGCTTTCTTTTGTGCTAACCAGTGCCCAGAGCCCCTGCCAGCCAGGAGAGGTGCTTGGTGAGCCAGGTGTGGATTCTCACTGCAGGTGCTAATCCACTGAGCAGTGGCCGTGGCCGCCCACTGGGGCAGAGCAAACAGCCTTTCCAGCTGCCTTTCCAGCTGCCTCCCCGCTGCGAGCTGCAGGAGCTCGGGGCAGTCCCCACCAAGCCTCTGCAGATGTTTTGTCTGAAAGTGGCCTGCTGTTGTCACCTCCTCAGGCTGGGGTGTCAACTGGACTTGCTTTGAGGGCACTCACCTGCAGAACTGTCTTGCTGAATCGGGAAGGAGCCCTGTAAAGGCTTTACGGGATGGGTTTCCACAAACCTCTGCGCTCTAGGGCAGCGCATGGGGCACCAGCCATTTCCCCAGGCATGTAATGCCCTGCTCCTCTCCTCACCTCCTGTGCTCCCCAATGCTGGCGGCACCCCGTGCTTTTGGGGTTCGCAGGGCGTGGCAGAGTTTCGGCCAGACAAACACACCTCTGCCCCGCCTGGCGCCCGGTGCTCCCCTACACCACCTGGGGAGCCCCGGCCCCCGGGGAATCCAGGTGCAAATGCCACCGGCAGGATGGGATGGGGCAGGGGAGGAGGGTTGAGGCGTCTGCTTTTTGATTTGGGGCTGCCCCTGGCAAAGCCCTGTACCTGGGATGCCGCTGAGCCCGGGAGAGCTCCCGTCCACACATCCCGTCCCGCAGCACGGTGGGGGGTTTCTGGCGGGTGGCAGCTCAGTTCTCTGATCCTTGCCTCTCTGTTTGTTTGTAGTTTGCTGTTTGAGAGCCTGGAATTTAATTCTGCGGCGGCAGCGGGAAGGGCTAATGGCATGCAGATTGCCCGGCTCAAAGGGAGACAGTTCAAAGCCGCCTCACTGAGCGTGCACTGGGTTTGAGCCGCTGAGGAGGACTTTGCTTCTCTCACAGAAGTATCTTTCATCAACAATCCTTTTTATTTTATTTTAAAGACACCATGTGCCGGTGTGAGACACTGTTAGAATAGGCAGTGTTGGGGACTGGATTAAGAAATCATTTTTCTCTGGCTGTAGTCGCTGAGTTAATCACACAGACCTGCTCTCATGCGGACCCAATGTTGCCAGTGCATGTGATGCATCCTCATTTTTTTCAGCCTGTTTCCCTTTGGTTCCAGAGTTGCTGATGCCAGAGGCTGTGTAAGCCTGCCTGGACATATGCCTGTGTAGCAGGTTGAAGCCTTGCATTGGCATATCTGACATCTGTAGCAGGATGCAACTTCACTTTACAAGTGTAGATCAGCCAAATAAAATGTATGTCAGTCTTTGGGAGGGCATTGCTTTCCTCACTGGGGTATTTCGAGAAAGACCCAAGGAGTTTTTTTCTTTAAATGCTCATAGGTGGGCACGAGCTGCAGGCAGCAAGGGGCAGCAGCTGCCAGCCAGTTTGCAACCCACTGGCCAGTGTCCAATGTCCTCATGTCCATTTCCATGCCAGGACAGGGGGCTGCTCGTGAGACTCAGATGGGCAAAGGACATGCGGGCTGTCCCTTCCACTCATCCCACCCACCACGGGGCTGACCTGTAATTCAGGCCTGGCTGGTGCCATCTGAACAGGAGCTGATGCACCTCTGTCTAGGTGTACCTATAGGTACACCTCAGTAGGTGCTGATACAGCTCTGAAGTTTAGCTGATGGGAAATTATTTTGATGATTTCTAGAAGAAATTAATGCTTTGCCGAGCTGTGGGATGCAGCTGCCTGCCCTGGAGCTGCCACGTGGGTCGGGGGCTGGAGGTTTCTCCAGCCCTGCCTCACAGCCTGGAGTGGGGGAACTTGCCCCCAGTTTTCTGGGGTGGAGCTGATGCTGTTTTTTTCCCAGCCAGGGCTGGCTTGGTGCAGCCGATGGGCCTTTCCTTCCCTTTTCTGTTGGGCCCCTGCAAAGAGAGGGTTGTTTGGTTTTTTCCCCCCTGTTGTGAGTTCCGCTTCTCTTTTCCAGCTTTCCTTTCTTATGAGGATTGTCTAAGCGTGGCAGTGTGGGCGTGCACGTGGCTCAGTGGATGAAGAGCAGTGCCCAGCTCTCAGCCAGGGCGATGGAAACGTTCTTTTCTGCTCTGTTTGGGGAGAGACTTTTTCCAACTGATGCTACATGATTTTTGCTTTCATTGTCACTAAATTAAGTATATGAGATTGACACCTGGCTTAAAGCATGAAGGTGAATTTTCCTGGTTTTCCCACTGAAGTGCTCAGGAGGATGATTCAGACTGCTGGATCACCTCTCCAAGCCTGTCCATTAGCCCAGCTTCCCTCCCTTGTATGTCCTTCTGCTGCAGCCCCACTGCCTTCTTGAAGAAGAGGTTTCCCCAGTTCTGTCCTACCCGAGACCCCCTGAGGCTGCACTTTGTGGCAGCAGCCCCCTGTTGTATCACCTTGGATGGAGTGTGGTACCATGTCGTTTGCAGCCCCCATAGGGAGGCAAGAGTACAATTCTGGCCCTGCACAGCATCGCTGCCTGAGTTTTCCCAACGCTTCTAGTACTGAGAAAATACTCCCTATAATCCCCCTAGACCCCTTCCTGTGGTCTGGGGAGGCTGGAGCCTTCTCTAGATCTACTATAGCATCAAGCTGAGCAGATCCTGGGCTTTTTTTTGGGGGGGTCCTCCCATTTGAGTCATCAGGATGAGCACTAGGGGAGGACGTGTGCTGGCAGCCTCAGATGGCAAGAGGTTTGGGTGTTGTGGCCAGGCATGGCTGTTGGGAAGTGGGGACAAGCAAATCACTGGGGCTGTGGGCCAGGCTTCTGAGGCTCGAGTGCTGTGCTGCCTCTGGCTTTTTGCAAGCCTCACTTTTGCTTTGTGTGAGAAGCTGCTTCCTGTTTGTGAGCAGCATGATGGCCCCTGGCATCTGTGCCTGTGCAGCGCTTTTCCTGTGCACCTTCCCTGTGAGCAGAAACTCTTCTGAGTGTCAGAGGCAAGGGCAGGAGTGGGCTGGCTCTTTTTCGGTATGTGTGTCTGTCTTACCCTGCCACTGCCAGCTAAAGCCTCTTTTACAATCTCTGAAATGTTTGGATGTGATGCTGTGCTTTTGTGTCTTTTGCAAGCTTCCGGCAGTTGCTTAATTTATGTTTTCAAGGTTTTCTGTTGCTGAAAATACACACTGGCAGCTCATGAAGCTGCTCTGTTGGAGCTTTGTGATGCGGAACACTAAAGGCATCTGCCTACAGGTGCCAGGGTGTATGGGTGACCAGAGCTGCAAGTCCACACAGCTCTGTTGTGCCTGTCTGTTTTTAGGAGGAGCTCAATATACAGTGACTTGTATGTCAGGCAGTTAGCTTGGAAAAAAAGCAGAAAAGATTCCGATGGTGTGAATCGGGCTGGAAAGTTTACGTAGTAAACATAGACAGAGATACAGTTTTGACTGATGGGACAGCACTTGCAGCAGACTTTGCACGCTTTCTTAGCATCACAGATCATGTCCTGAGTCAGCATCCCTGGGAGACAACAGCCCTACAGCTGCTTGCTATCCAGGTAGTCAAATTTCAGTGAAAAGGATTTAAAATTAGCAACTGGAACCATGACACTGTTCACAGTTGGAAAGCCTGTGCTTGTGGATTTGGCTTTAGCTTTGTCCTGCTTGGGAAGTGAGCTGAAAGTGTTGATTTGCAGTGGGGGTGGTATGTTGCTGCTGCTTTGTGTCAGCCACATGGCTTAGGAAGTCTTGTTTGTTTTAGTCATTCTGTGTTTCAAAACAGCCTGTTCAGCTTTTTTCTGTTTTTGTATTCAGTGAATGTATTAACGGAGTGATTTGTGTCCAGCCTGCCCCAGAAGCAGCTGCCTTGCTGCACATGGATGGCACCGGTGCCTGGGAACTTCTCACTGGCCTGCATGTTGGCTGCATCCCTCAGGACAGTATTTGCAAGAAGCTGTGCTGCCTTTAAAACTGATTTATTAAGCAGGAGGTTGGAGCAGGACAGATAATTTCTCACCAGTGCCCTTCAAGACTATGAAACTGTTAAATCTGTCTTCTGCAGCTTTTTTTTACTATGACTATGTTTTCTTCTCCCATCTCTTCCTTGCCAATGCTCCAGTCTCCTGAAGGCAAACAAGAGCAAGTGCTGGCAGGATGAATGGTCCACATTTGGCCTTGGGGGGTTGCTGGATGCTGATCTGCAAAATGCCCTGTTTGCTGTGTCCAAGTGCTTGTGGCTGTCCTTGCCCAGTTGGAGCTTACAAGTCACCAGCAGGAGTAAATTCACCTAAATGGCAAACTTTCATTTCCCTCCACCTTAAAATGAGTGAGTGCGAGACATTAAAAGAACCTTTGTTCATTAAACCTTTGTTCATTAAACCCCATCCTCCGGGCTGATGGGGCTTGCAGTTGTTTCTCAGGAGCAGCAACTAGGAGCAGAGCGTGGTAACTGGGAGCAGAGAGCGCAGCCTGTCCTGGCAGGAAGGGGCTGCTTGGTGGGACGGCAGCCACCCAGCGCCCGGGAGTGGGCCAGGCTGGCAGGGCCCCACGAGGGGTCCTGTCACTTCTGCCCAGCTGCTTCCTGCAGCATCCCACCAGATTGGTCCTGCTGCTGGCAGCCAGATGTGAGTGAGGCAGGACAATAACACCCTGGGCACAAATGCCCAGAGTAATCCCATTTGCTGGCCATGACCGGTTAGGTGAACCATGCCCAGTTCAATGCCCTTGAATTCAGTTGCTGTTTAAGTGCATAGAAGTGTAGCGTCATCCTAAGTCTGAGTGCCAGTCTCCTAATGGAGGTAATGCTGATGGGCAGAGGGATGGGTGGGGGAAGCAGGCATGACAGTGGATTGAGGCCAGAGGTTGTTCTGGGAAAGTGCTCGCCACCATTGTGCGGAAGCAGTACCCAAATTCAGAGGAAATGATGCACTATCTTCCCCTCCCGCCCCCACTGACCTCGTTGATATGGTGTCTGCCCCAGCCGTCCCACAGGCAGAAGGATGGCTGTGCCTGGCCCCTGATCCTGTCATCACTGAGCCCCGGTCCAGGTCACACAACTGCATGTTCCTTCCTGCCTCAGTTCCTCCAATTCTTGCCTCTTCCGCCGCTGCAGAGCGCCCTCTGAGCTCCCCTGCAAGCCACATTTAGACCAGAGAGTCTTCAGACCTGGCCCTGCAGCCGCAGGGCAGGAATCCACAGCATCCATCTTGTGCTGTGGGGCAGAGAGGGTGCAGAACCGGGCAGGCATGTTGGGGGTGCAGCTGGGAACCGCCAGAGTGCTGAGAGCATGGGCAGACTGATCCCAGTGCCTGGAGTCTGAGAAATTGCTTCCTTCTCCTCCTCTGAGAAAGGGAAACATGCCCATTTAACCAGTGCAAAATGCAGAGGTCAGGAGATCCTTTTGCATCCTGTCCATGATGCTGCTTCCTGCTGCTGTGCAGGCAGTGAATCAGGCAGCAAAGCTTCCCTGCTGCCTCCGGGGGTACACTGGGTACCTCTGCCTGCTTGGCTGGTCTACTCCTTGCCTTCTCCAGCCTCAACAAGCGCAGGTTTGTGGAGCAGCACAACTGAACTAAAGTAGCTTTTTCTAAATAACCAGGGAATGAGCCACGAGTCTGTAGCCTTATTTCTGCTTTTTTTAGTAGTCACGTGTTACGGGATGCACAAGGTTGATTGTGACAACCCTGGCCTTTCTGAGCTCTAAAAATCACTTGTGCCCCTTCCTGAGGGGCTCCTCAAGTGCTCTGTAGCCCCCACTGGTGTGTGCACACATTGCCTGCCTTTTGGGGGTCTCTGTAGCAAATGCAAGCAGGAGGCAGTAGCTCCAGGGCACATGTGCCTGTGCGTCTGTGCACACCAAAATGGAGGAAAGGGGGAGGGCACAGCAGCTAAACCTTTAAGGAGTGATCCCCAGCCTGGTATTTATGGTGGAGACTTTCTACCTTGTCCACAGGGGCCTCAGCATCCCCACCTGCTGCAGAGGTTTTAGCAGTAGATGAGTGTGTGTGCAGAGCCCGCTGTATTAGCTGGCTGTTCCTGGGAGCAGGACGTGGCAGCAAGAGAGGCCCTTCCTTCTGCAGGAGCTGCCACACTTGTTAGGCTTTTGCTCCATCAGGGCTGGAGCAGCTGGAAGCAAATATTGCAGAAGGACTGTCCTTGATGTTCAGAGAGGGCATCTCTCTGAGTTCTCTCTGTGGTGCCACAGGGGCTTCTCAGTTTTACCCACTGGTTTTGGCACAGATTGTTTTGGCAGTTTCAAAACTGGCCACTGTTGAAGCCATCTGCAGGAATTGCCAACCTGCATGCAAATCTGGAAGAGGCTTTTTTTAGCATTCCTAAGAAATACGGGGCATGTCTACAGAACACTGAAAATACCTCTAAGAAAAAAAAAAAACAACAAGAAAAGGGGATTTCATTCACTTTGCATGTGGCTAGCCATAAGTGATTATTTCAGTAGGAAAGCAGGACTATTTTTGAAGTTCTTGGGCTGCATGAGATGGGTGAGAGTGCAGAGGGTACTGCTTCAGGCTGGTTTTATGGTGCATGTGCCAGTGGGAGCACAGCTGTTGGTTTGCCACACAGACTGTAGGATTTTCAAGACTCAGTTTAACGTCATCGACTTGGTTGGGTTCTGATACCAGGAGGCCACAGTGTTTGCTCTGAATGATGGTGTGAGGTTGCTTTGGGTAAGGATGGTCCAAGCTTCAACATCTCTGTGCACTGCTGGGATTGAATCGGGATCAAAACGTCTGTTTCTTAAAAACAAGACCAAACCAAAAACCAAATGTGTGTAAAGGATACATGCTCAGAGGAATAGATTGTGTGTGTTAACTTGCTTTGTGCTATGCCTTTCTTCCAGTTGGTGCGCTGCGTGTGGAGTTTTCCCAGCCTGTAAACCTGGAAGAAGTGGCAAGAATAAATCCAGAGATCAAAGCAGGAGGTCGTTTTGCTCCGAAGGACTGTATAGCACTTCAGAAAGTAGCAATAATCATCCCGTTCAGGAACCGAGAGGAGCACCTGAAGTACTGGCTCTATTACTTGCACCCAATTCTCCAAAGGCAGCAACTCGATTACGGAGTATACGTTATCAACCAGGTAAGAAAGATGCTAAAGAGACAAGCCCTTATACAGCTGTCATAACACTGCCTGTGCCCCTTCAAACAGAGGAACGGTTGCTTTACTTTGAGCAGCAGTAGGCTGGCAGGCAGGGATAAGGTTGCTTAAAAAAAAAAAAAAAGAAATTAAAAATGAAAAATTTTGCTTCAACAATTTTGATGGAAAAGCTGAGATACCCTCTTCTGCTCAGGCACAATTCACTCTAGAGAGCTTCTGCTTAAAGAAACCACTTGTGAGTAGGAAAAAAATTCCTAATAGCACAATCCAATTTAATACCTCTTTGCAAATGTTCCTTTTTCCCAGCTGCTGCAGGAATTGCATGCAGAGATCTTTAAGGTGACACAGTATTATTAAAACCTATTCTGGTATTTGATGTGCCGTGAAGTTGTAGGATTTCACTTACTTTCTTGAGCATCTTCTGTTAATGTTAGTGCACAGAGTGTCAGGATGGAGAAAGCAGTGGAGCAGGTAAGTGACTGTCTTCAGGTGAATAGAACAGAAAAGAAACAAGCAATCATTGGAAGGTTGTTGGGTTTTTTCGTTTGTTTGTTTTTTCTTGATATCTGGTGGCCTTAGATCTCTCTTTAAAAAAAAAAAAAGGCATAAAAAGGCACATTTCACTCAAGACAAGCTGTCTTAATTTATACCATAATGGTGTTTGAATAATTGGGTAGTGTTTGCACTCCGAAAGTTTTAAAGTGTGCAGACATTTGTATGGGCTGCAGTGTGAAAGGGCAGGTGCAGTTGTGAGAGCCCCAGCAGAGACCACTGGCTGGGCAATCCCACAGTGCAGTTTCTCTCTTGGATGTTTATTCATATCCTGCTTTCTCGTCTCAGTAAAAACCGAGATGATATAGCATGCTAACTTCTTAAACTCGTGCTTGGATCAGCTGATGTGTTTGGGCATATCAAACACCGTGAATATTTAAAGCGGTCGCCCAAGCGATGAATTTCCTCACAGAATTGAAAGTAAGGGGAGAACTATTCCTAGAGAGAAAACCAATAGTCCATTACTACTTTGCTTTGCTCATTTTCAGGGTGCCAGAGATCTGACAGAGGTGATTTGTGAGGAATTAGCAGTTGTTCCCAAGCATAGCAGCCAAGATGCTCTGGTGTCTGCGTCTGGCTGTGCTTGTGGCCTGGCAGCCACATTACTGAGGACACAAGGCATTTCTGCAGCATGTGGACTGGCACACAGTGCCCTAAAATTAAGCCCTGTAGGGAGACCCTTCCTCTGTAATGCAAAGAGCAGCTGGTGCTGCTGCGGTCCAGCAGTGCAGGGCCAGCCCCAGCCCTTCATCCTTCAGGCTGCATTTCCTTGCACACGCAGCATTTGCCTGTGCAAGTCACTGGTGCCACAAGGCTGCTTGAGCCATGGACCCTGCTGGTCCCTGGGGTGTAGGTGGGTGAGGGTAGCAGGGCGGCATGCCTCGCTTTCCTGAGCGTGGCTTGGAAGGGAGGGTGCGGTGTGGCATCCGGCAGTGGTCCTGCAGTGGGGTCTGCTGCCTTCCCAGCTTGCCCACCAACTCTGCGGAGGACCGGGGAGAGCTGCCCACCCATGGCCTGGGGCATCACTTGTGGAAAAGCCAGTGTCTCCATTGCAAAGAGCCGGCAGTGCAGCTGGGGCTGGTATTCTGCTGTCGGTGGTGTTCAAGGGTAAAGGCAGGCAGTGTCTGAAGCCCGGCTGGAGTTCCTGCTGCTGCTGCGATGGTGCATGCTGGCTTGCATTGCCCTGTGTTGCTGGCTACTCCTCTTCTCTGGTCCTGTTCTCCAGCACTGGAGCTGTGTGCTTTAAAGTTAACCGTCACAGAAGTTTCTGAAGCAAATGTTTTTTTCAGGTGCATCCCTTGTGCACAGTTTGAGCAGGAGTGGAATGCGGTACACAGGGTATATATGCCCTGGACACATCCAGCAGATGTAGGGTTAGCAACTAAGACTACTTGATTTGTAAAATAAACATCTTCCTTCTGCATACCTCTAATAAGCTGTGTCTGGAAGAGGTGGAGTGGTCAGTGGTAGTAAACCCACCGGATGCCTCTCTCAAGGGTGAGTGGGAACACTGAATAGAGAGAGTTGCAGAAAATGTATTAATTCTGCCAGAAGTACAGTAGGAAAACAGTCTTATTTCTCTGCTGTCTTGACAATTGCTTTTCTCTTTTTCTTGTCTGTCCTTCCCTTTGCATCTGCCCTCCTTTTTTTTTCTTTTTTATTTTATTTTTCCTTCTAGTGGGGAAATATTACCTTTACTTGTTAATCCTGTCTATATCAAAGCAATCACTGAAGCAAGGAGAATTACTGTGTGATCTGGTTCTTACACGCTGCCTACATGCTCTTCTGTGCTCCGCATCTCATAGAAAGAAAGAGGAGCGCTGAGCCCTGCTACTGCTGCACTGGTAATGTCAAACTTCTTCCTTTCAGCGCAATGTGTTTCTGTCACAGTCCATTGTGTCTCCACCTTGCTGTTCTTGCGTGCCTGAATGCCTCAGGGTAGGACTCGGCTGAAGTCAGGGGGATGATGCTTGTAAAATGTCTGCCTTGTAACAGGAGCCAGTGGAAAAAACACGTTAGGTTTCACCCTGCACACTCCACCCCCAGAAAAACCCAAACCCAGGGTATGGAGTAGCAGTTGTAGGATTTTTCATATAAATCTGAGATGAGGGCACATGGCTGGGCACACTTTGTGTAGTGCCCATTTGATGCTGTGCAAGCTTGACGTGAGCAAATGAGAAGTCAGCGGTGAATTTGCAGTGTCTCTCTCAGTCCTGCCATTACCAGTGTGCTCTCTGGCACCTCCAGCTCTTGCCACATGGGCATGCAGGTCTAGAAATGAGTTTTCTCACTGCGCTTCAGCCCACGCAAATGTCTGTGGGAGCCAGACTGAAGTTTGGGAAAGGGGAGACTTGACAAATTCCCTGAAAACCAGGCAGTTGCTCGACCATTTTCCACTGGCCCCTGGTGCTACCTGCAATGTCTGGGTAGCAGTTTCCAGAGAGAGGGGTGTGTGTGTGTGAATGTGGAGTGGTTGGGCATCACTCTTATTCATGTCACTTTGCAGGGGGTATCAGGACCCCCTGGGTATGTGGGAAAAGGAGGGAATTGTGCTTGGCTCCAGTTTACACTTGCAGTGGTGAGGGAGGCAAGTTTCCACTGTAGCTGCTCTCTCACATTGCCCAGTGTAATTGTGCTGAGGCATCAAAACACCCTTTGACAGAGAAACACCAAAGTATCTCTCCTGATGCCCTGTATGACCCTGGAAATCCGTTTCTATCTGCTTAAGCCACCGGAGTGAGGACTTTCACACGGACATGGTGTGTGTGGTTCGGGTTGTCTTAGTGTATCCCTGACTTAGCTAGCAAGCTCTCATTGGAGGTGATGACTCTTCTAGCTGGCCAGGAACATGTATCCTCACCATTACCTCCTTGAGACCTGATGAGCCTAAGATCCAAGTGAGAGAGATGCAGCCACAGATCCTCTGTGCTGTCTGCAGGACAGAGCTGCTTCCTGCATGGAAGTGAGAGGTAGAATAAAGTCAGGACAGATGGCTTCTTGCTGGTTTGCAACCCCTTTAGCTTGAGTAATGGCTCCAAAAACATTATTTTTTTCTGTTGGGCCCAAAAAAATTAGTACCATCATTTGGTAGGTCTGCCTAAGATTTCAGCAAATGTAAGGGATGGGAAGTAAAAGTGCCTGGATGTTCTTTTGCTCAGGCTGATCATTCATCTTCGGGTGCAAGAAGGAATCGGCATCAGACCTTGCAGGACTGAGGCAGCAGTTTGTTTCCCTTCAACCAGTCTCTTATGGATCAGGGAATGGGGATGGACTTGGGCGTAGTGGGATTGATATAGAGAGTAAATTCAGGAGCCAGAAACAGGTGCTGGGCACCAGCACTAAACTCAGACATGGGTTAAGTTTCAGGACAAGAGAATATTGGGAAAAAATTGTCAGGAAAAAGAAAATAGCGAAAATGTGCTGGGACTACATTTGTAGTGGTTGAAAACATAGGAAGGCGTGGAGCTTGACTGCACTGTCAAAGCAGCAGCCCCCTGTGTGCTGCCTTGCTCTTCAGGATAATGCTCCTCTGTCAAAGCAAGTCCAAAGTAATCCATTTCTTTGTGTCAAAAAACAGCTTCCATGGGATGAGGAGCTGCCAAACAGAGCTGAGGGCTGGAGGTTTCTTCAGTTCTGCTTTACCTGCTTTTTCGAGGGTGCCCTGTGCTGACCTGGAAGGGACAGTGGCACAAAGTTTTCTCAGCTCTGGATTGTTGGGCTTTTTTTCCCGAACTGTGGGGGATCAGTCAAAGATGGAAGTCTGCATCATGCTTCTGAGTTTTGAGAGATTTGAACCTCAGATACTGCGAGCATGCCAGTGCTTCCACATTGCCTTAGGTAAAGAAATAGAGCTTTCTGCAAAAAGCAAAACCTCTTGATAGGTTCTGTAAAGCCCCACGTGCCTGATGGGACAGAAAACCAACCTTCTGCATTTAAAGCAATTGCATTTGATAACAGTCTTGTAAAGTTTGCTACATGAGCTACCTGCTCGATGTAAAGTTACAGAAAAATGGCATGGAGAAGGGTTTTTGGTTTCTTATATTGGTTTTTATTCCCTTACCCCAAGTCTTTCCTTTGCCCCTTTGGATCCTGGATTAGGAAGCTGTATGGCCATTTGGGAAGAGAGTGGCAATGCCCTGTGTCTAGTCCCCTCCATGTGCAGGGGTCCCACATGTTCTTGGTGTGGTCACTGCGCTGTGCTTTGAGGCTTTTCAGGGAGAAGTTTAGAAACGCAGCTCCTTGTAGCATGTTAATCCCCATATGTCACCCAGAAGAGTTAGAGGCTACTTGAAGGTATGAGTTCATTACAGCTGAGCCTCTGCTGGTAACAAAATTGGTGTGAAGTGCCCTTTGCCTTGAATTTCATTAGAAAAAGAGCAGCCAAAGGGTGTGAAATGAGGACACTCTCCTAGACTGGACTCAGCAGCTGCTTTGAGGTATAAGAACACTGCACTTTGCACCAGCACCAGGAAGAGTCCCCCTTGGGACTATAGAGCCAGGTTTGGGTTTGGTGCTGTGGAACCTGAGGAGCACTGAGGAGCTGGGGCTGGGCAGCCCTTTTGCTAGGTGAAGAAAACCCTCTGATCTCACAGCCTTAGCTGCTCCTCTCCCCTGGCTCTTTGTTCCACTTGCCTTCATTTTCTGTAGTCGAGTTTTCACTGCTCTTACTTTATGCACAATGGTAATCATCCTCCCACCACCTTATTTACGGTGTGAACCCTTTTGTTTCTGGTAAGGATGCTGAGAATTTGCTCAGATCCTCCTCCATGAAAGCTCACTCCTCCCCGTGAAGTCATTTATGCCCAAGGCAGGTGATGAATGCTTTTGAAAACTGTGGTTTGACACTTGCATGTTAAAACTTTCATTTGAAAGGTACTTGGGGCTGTTTCAAGAGCTTGCATTGGCTCTCCAGCAGCAGATCCATTAACCAGTCTGGATTAAACAGTTCCCAAACTTGCTGTTTATTAACCAGGGAAAGCTGTTCAGGAGGTGTGATGTTTTAAGCTGCTGCTCCTTGGGCACAATCCATCCTTGATTTTCATCCCCTGTCGGGCACAGGTAGTGCAGGGTGGAGGGGCAGCTTGCACAGTCGGGGAGTCCTTTGGCTGAACACTGCCCAGAGAGTGTGGAGGAGCAAAGGTAGAAAGGATTTGGCAGTCTTGGTTTCCAGGCTGGCAAAAAACTTCATCCTCCTTCAGGGATGGCCTGTGAGTTTCCTTCCACCTGCTCTGTTCCCCTGCACAGGGTTTGGGTTTGAAGCTGCTGTTGCAAAGTGGGGTCTTGGACTGAAAATCCTTACTCTCAAACCAGTATTCTTCTGTTTGTGCGTGTGATCTTGTAGTATTTCAAAAGTACTCAAGCAATTTGCAAGCCTATACTTGTGCTCAAAGCCACGTTTTTAAATGTTTCTGCCTGAAAAAGGCCAAACAGGTTCTCCTCAGTTGCTTAGGGAGGAAAGTGGAGACTCTCCTGCCCTGTTCTCTGCAGGTCCCTTCTTTCGCTGTGACTACCCTGGGATAAATGTGCCCTGCTGCAGTGTCAGTTCTTTTCAGGTACTTCCCATCATGATGACAGCCTTCCTGATTTTGTTTTCTCATCAGGGCCCCCAAAACAGATGGATGGTGGCAGAGGAGCACCAAAGAAGGGGATGTGCCACTGCAGCAGTGGCATCATCCAGCACATGAGCCATAGCCCTTCCAGGAAGCAGCTCACACTGACCTGTCACCCAGTAACTGAGGCTGTGCCACAGCCATGTGCTGAACCAGCTTCTGAGGTTACCAGGGAGCATTCTGCTCCTATGTGTGCATATCTGCCCAGGGCTTGGCAAAGGATCAGGAGTGAGCAGCAGAGAAGCAGACCTTAACTCCTGGTGCCGTCTTGTGCTTTGCAAATCAGGTCTGGCTTGTGCTCACACATGTTGCTCAGCAGAGGCCATGCCACAGTCCCACAGCTGTGTTGTGGCAGAGCGTAGGAAGAAGGTGCTCAAATCCTGGCCACAGAAAGTTTTGGTCCATGGTCCTTTGTTCTGGCTGTAAGCCAAAGCACCACCAAGGTTTCTCTCTGTGGCAAGAGACCCTCATTCTAGAGGAGCTCATCTCTCTTTGCTTTCCTGTGCTGCTCCAGAAAGCCCCCAGCTGCTTCCCCTTTACCACAGAATTCGATCCCAAAATGCCTATGTGTGGAGGGGGACGTGGAGACCGCTCGGTATCAAACCTGCCCTCTTGGAAGCTCCCACCAAGAGTTGGGCACTGAGCCAGGTCCAGCTTTTCCTCAGCCATTTTGTCTGCCCCCATGGTTTGCAGCTGCCCCAGATGTCACCACCCCACAGGCAGCATCCTCGGTGGGTGGGAGGTCTTGCTGCAAACATCCCATGGGTGCTGCAAGGGTAGTGCTCGGGCTCAAGCTCAGTCCATCACAGGTGTGCCAACCCAGTGCGGCAACACGGGCATCTCGGAACAGGTAAGAAACTGCTGATGTCAACTGTCAAATTTAAGGCACTTAACTGTTTTTCTTTGTTTTTAAATTAGGATGGAGAGGAAGAATTTAACCGTGCTAAACTGCTGAATATAGGATTCGCAGAGGCTTTGAAAGAGTATGACTATGATTGCTTTGTGTTTAGTGACGTAGACCTCATCCCAATGGATGACAGGAACACCTACAAATGTTACAGCCAGCCGCGGCACCTCTCTGTATCCATGGATAAATTTGGATTTCGGTGAGACACCTTTTGGAGGGGCATCTTTTTCCTAATACCACCGTTCGTCTAGCAGGCCAGGCACGGTGTTACCCATCCCCACCTAGCAGTGGAAGCATGGGAAAACGCCTCTCACAGAAGCCTGTCTGGGCATGCGTGTGCCTGCAGGGAGTGGGATGGCTGGAGGGGAGGAGGGCGGAGAAATGCAGCCAAGCAGTTTATTAAAATTCACAGCTTCTGGAAAGTGAAATGTAGGGCGAGGAAAAACCAAGCGTCCTTCGTTTCACAGATGCCCACATATCCCTTCTTGTGTTTCAGGCTGGAAGCTGGAAGACAGATACTGTTTCCACTCAGTCTGAAAAGTGAGACACTCTCACATAGTGAGAATTATGTGCAGCTTTAAAAATACTACATCAGGCATTATTTTAAGACCAAAATGAAATTTTTTTGGCTGTTCAGTTTTGTACCACTGAGAGACCTGCCCTGGTATCTGAGAGCAGCACAAAATGAAATTTCCTTCAACATATGTTTGTGTTCAGCAAGGTGTTGTGAACAGAAATGTGTCTTGCTTTTCCTTTCTGGCTTCTTTTTTCCTGTCCCAAATCCCCAAGGGGGAGTTTAAAAGCTCACCTATATAGTGAATCTGTAAAGTGAAAATTGGTGGCTGGTAGTGCTAAAGCTATAGCAGTGGTGGTGTAGGAGGCTCCCTGCACGTCTCCACTCCAGACCCAACCACTGCTCAGAGCAGGACTGCCACTGGCACCACAACAGCTACAGGTTTATCTTGCAGCTAGGTGAAGTTTAAAGAAGAAATGCATGCCCCAGGGTATTCTTCTGCTTGTTGAAGCAGAGTCTGCGCTAGGTCCTGTGTGGACCCGCTCCTTGTGCTGTGGGTCTGAAATTCATCTGTCCCCAAACCCCTGGTGAATTGTCCTCTCTTTTGAGCAGGAGCTGGTTGGCTTTGTGTATGTAAGGTCACACTGCCAGCTCAGTTTTGTGCTGCAGGCCTCCTTTTATGACACTGAGGAGTGTGGAGGCGAGTGGTAGAGCTGCAGGAAGAGACCCAGTGTCTGTCTGAGCTCTTGCCGCTCCTGCGGCATGCATGTCACCTTTGGTGATGTGATGTGCATCTCACCAGCCTGTCACTTGAGGACACTGTACTGCTTAGTGAAAGGATGCATCCACTGCCAGTTGTAAAATACCTCCCCAATGTATTTGAGCCCACCAGTTCCCTCTACACCAGCCAAGTCCACACATGCTGTTTCCTGTTGCAGGAAGGTGCCTTGCAGTGGGTGCTGGCTCTGTGTGGGCTGGGTTAAAGGGCAGCAGCAAACCCTATTCAGGCAGGCAGGCAGGCTGCCCCTTGAATAGCACCTCTCCTCCTCTAATGTTCTCTTCTCTCTTGCTTCCAGGTTGCCTTACAATCAGTATTTTGGAGGTGTGTCTGCCTTGAGCAAAGAGCAGTTCACAAAGATCAATGGGTTCCCAAACAATTACTGGGGCTGGGGTGGCGAAGATGATGACATTTATAACAGGTAAATAAATTTTCCTCCTTGGCACCCTGGGGTGCATCCAGGGTGGGGATGAGCACAGACCTGCTGCTCTCACTCAGGTATGGGGGCATAGGGTGTCTCCAGGCAGGAGATAAAGGTGGTGTGTGGGCAACCTGCTGGCTCAGCAAAAACGTGTTCCTGCTGAGTGCTGGCACCCCATTTCACAGCTTCCAAGGTGTGGTGGGGAGTGGGTCTGGTTTGAAAAATCATACTCGTGTCTCCTCCTCCCTCACTGCTCATTCGCTGTGTGGCCTCACAAGTGCATGGGTTGGAGCACTGTGCTTCTGAGTCTCCCAGCACTGGCTGAAGGACGGAGATTCAGGACATGCAGCAGGAGGGTGGATGAGGCATTTATCCACCTTGCCCAATGCAGCTCAGTACTTGCCTGGGTCTGCAGCCTTGTAGCAGATCCTGTGGTTCCCAGGAGGGGTTCATTCGTCAGGCTGTAAGCAGCTCTAAATAATGCTGTGAGCCACTGGTTCTTGCCTGGAAGGACGCTGAGCAAGGCTTAGAACCGCAGGAGAGGAGGAAGGTGTTTGCACAGGGCGGGCTGGGACCATCCCTGCCTGAAGACCAGGGCAAAGGGTGGACTTGGGGTTGTGCTACCTTACAGCTTCACATCCCCAGGCCAGTCACTGAGAGAAATCATCCCTGGGACCTTGAATTTGAAAGCCCTGTTTCTCAGTGACAAAACCACTCTGCATGGTCATTTCTCTGGGCTTTTTGAGCTCTTCTGGGCTTCAGGAAGGGTCTTCCTAAAAATGGTTTAAGAAACCAAGAGAGGGAGAGCCTTCCAGAACATTCAGAGCAAGGTAGTAGTCCTCTCTTTTTAGGGCACTCAGGTTTTGAGGAGCAGAAGATGCTACATAGAAGTGAAAAGGGAGAGGCAAAGAAGAGAAAATCAAGTACTTCTCCAGCATCAGTATCCGTGAAATAACTGCAGGTGCCTTGCAGAGAACATGCAAACAAAGGGGGGCTGCCCCTCACTCGGTGGGATCCAGCTGAGACTACTCTGACTCTCACCATGCGAGTCCTTTATGCTGCTTCACCACTATTCACTTCAGGTTCTCCCAGCCCTGCAGCTTTCACATCCTACCCAGAAGGGTTAAAAAACTAGATGCCTCCCATTCAAAGTGGAGTCTACAGCCTGGAGCAAGGTTAATGTGGGTGTTGGTTGCAGGAGATGGAGGTGAAGGTGCAGTGAATTTAGGTTGGTGTTGACAGGGGGACGTCTCTTCTCCCCACACTAATATGCTTGTATGGAAAAGGACTGGCTTTCCCCCCCCTTTCAGTGTTGGCAAGCCTGGAAATGCACTAGCAACGCCCTAAAAAAAAAAAAAAAAAAGTAGGCAAAACCAATGGTCATTTGTGGAAGGTGTGGCAGAGCATCCCACATCCGTTTGAGTGTTTAATGTTCTTGCTTCTTTTACAGGCTGGTGTTTAAAGGCATGGGGATATCCCGTCCAGACGCCGTCATTGGGAAGTGCAGAATGATTCGGCATACCCGGGACAGGAAGAATGAACCCAACCCTGAGAGGTGTGTCTCACCCTATCCCACAGCAGGTTTGAGGGGTGCCTCCTGCCCTTGCTGCTCCGACTGCTCGGCTTTCCCTTTGCCTTTGCCGTGCAAAAAGCTCAACTGCAGAAAGGCTGCAGCCATCTCCTCCTCCCCGACTGAGCTCCCTGTGCTCCAAGCTGCCCCCTTCTCCTTACCAGGTTATTACCTGATTGCAGAGCTATTCCCCAACATTGCACTATGACACGAAGGTCTCTCCCCCTTTTTTTATTTCTTAAACACAGCAAATTAAGCTCCCAGCAGTTGTTTCCAGCATGTCTTTGGGATATAAACCTGTGCTCCAGTGCAAAGCTGGAAAAGGATTTGGGTGATTTATAAGCTTAGCTGCTTTTTCCTATCTAAAATTTGACCCCATAGAGATGCCTTGGCCCATTGCTCAGTCTGGCCAAATCTGGGAGTTTATGGGACTGATACTCAGGTTGTTCTTGAAACACCGGAGATGCTGCCTGAGGGGTGTGCAAAATTCATATTGTTTAAACATTTTTTCCTTTCTTTCTTTGTTGTTTCCGCCCTCCCCCTCCTGCAGGTTTGACCGAATTGCTCACACGAGGGAGACAATGAACTCTGACGGCTTAAATACACTATCCTACAAGGTGTTAAGAACTGACAAGTACCCTCTGTATACAAAGATCACAGTGGATATTGGCTCGCCAAATAGCTAACATCTGAGATACAACAGAGACTTGCCTGTATTGCCCAGGACATCTGGCCTCACTGATGCATTATATCTGCTGATTTTATAACAACTGCAGTGAACCAAAAAAAGGCCTCTTTTGGCATGCCAAAGTGTCTCCAAATTGGTTGGACAAGTGCTTTTTTTTTTTTTTTAAATGTTTTTAAATTCTAAACTTGACTTTACACAACTTTCTAGCTCTCCATTGTTTTGTAAGTCCAGAAGTTGTATATAGGAGTTGTAAATATTTACCAGAAAATGTTGAATCTGATCTATTTGCTGCAGTACTCCCCATGGGTTGAGTAAATTTCTGGACCCAAATTTTACTGATTATGACTGATGTATCAACAATTACTGCCCATGAGATTTGGTATTTTACATGAGGTGCGTGCAGACATTCTTTTTAAATCATTCCTGGTTTTACTTTATGAAGGACTGTAAAATGCTGCTAAAATTGTACAAGTTTACGCTTTGCATTAGATTTTAATTTTTTTTGTTTAAAGGAGACAACATCACACATTTTTTTTTCTCATAGTGACCAAAACAAACATCTTCTCTGTGTGCAGAGCAGGTGTTGAACAATCAGTTCTGGATTCAATGAATGTTATTATTTCTCTTCGTCTCAAAGGAGGCTTTGAGTGAGTCGAGACAGAGTTTGCCGGAATTTGTCAGTGAGCTCTCTGCATAGGTTGGGAGCTACACAGGCAGCATCTGCAAAAACTGCTGGCTTCAGATAATGTTACTTCTGGGTATGATAGAGCCTATTTGCTTCCGCACAACAACACTCGGGGGTTTTCGGGGGTGTTGAGAGGGGTGGATTTGTAGTGTTGGGTTTTTTCCCCCGAAATAAAGATTAATTTAATTGCGTGATTAAATTATGGCCTTAGAATTTGCCGACGCTTGTTAACAGTGGTAGGAAGTTACCACGCCATTTAAACATTGTCTGAAGCTTCATAAAACCAAAATTCTCTCTTGCAAGATTGTGCATAAAACTTGAAATCTCTTATTACCTTTGTCGTTGTCGTAACATTTTAATAACTTTTAAAAGTAATTTGTGTATCATAAGCAGTATATTTAATACCAGATTAAAGTAGGGTGCAGCATATAATAGGATATGATTCAAGGCCTCCTCTATCTTTAGACTAGTAGGCTTTTTGTGTGCGTCATTCTATATAAGCCACGTATCATATTTGCTCTGCATATTTGTCCGTGAAATCTCCTGCGGTGCTGAGATACTCACAGCAGGGCTGACATCCAAATGATTTTCCTTCACCTAAAGCCTGTTTGCAGTGCGTGTACTCCATCTGGAACCTCCTTTCTGATGGTCTCAGGCTTTGAGGGCCATGCACATTCTGCAGTACTGTTTTCTGTCAGTGCACCAGGGCACCCCCTGTACAGACCCTGCCTCTCCTTCCCATGACCATATGAAAGCCTGAAGTGCTGACACCCGTGGAGCTCGTTTAAATGATTTAAAGCTCTTAGCCATAACCGAGAACTGAATTCCTTCTGGTGAGTGCTTTGCCACCAGCTCTGACCACAGCAATTTGCACTTCCTTGGCCTGTGCTGAAGGCTGTTACAATCAGGGACACTTGTTGTATTGGGGATCATCTTCAGCACTGCCTTTAGTTTTTTGGCGGTTTTTTTTTTTTTGTTTATTTTTTTTGTTGTTTTGTTTGGGGTTTTTGCTTTGTTTTGTTTTGTTTTGATTTGGTTTTGGTTTTTTTTTGAGACCTGAAGGTTTTGCTGAACCCTTGCACTGCAGGGGTGGGATCCTGCAGGGGCCGGGGGACAGTGCATTTATTTTTAGGCCAGCAGTGGCTCAAAGGATGCATAGAAACTTTAATTACTGACTGCCTTTTCAGTCTCACCTTGAAAAAGTCTTCACTCCCTTTGCTTCAAAGCTCTTTCTGGCTAGACTTGCTGCTCCAGTCATGCTGGGAGGTGAGCGAAGATGGGCTTACACGGAGCAGGAGCAAAGTGCAAGGAAGGAGGCTTGTGGTTAAGAGCTTCTCTGTTGTGCTTATCATTGCATTAAAAAAAAATAAAAATGAATAAAATAAAATACTCCTTTTTGGCAGTTTAAGCTCCAGCTCTTGCAGATACAAGGGAGTACAAGAAAATGTGTTTCAGAGAAGTCAGGTCAAATGTCTACCCATAAAACAGTGTGGTCTACACCAGTAATGAGACTCAGGAGAGGACTGTTTTTGTTTTTTCAAAGGTGCCTTAGAAGCAGGGACCCACTCCCACAGGAAGCACATCAGCACCAAAACTCATCAAGACTCCACTTGAAAACGGCAGGCCTTTGCAGAGAGCACTGCCATTTTGTGCTGAGCCTTTTGTCACTTGCAGAGCTGGGACCTTCAGCTGTAGTGGTGTCTGTCTCGTACCAGCCTCTGCAAAGGGGATACCTGTTGTAATTGAGTGGTTGGTTTTGGCGTGAGGTGGGTGGGCGAGGCCCTGGGGGCGCTCCGTGCAGTGGGATTCTTTGAAGATTAGAAAAAGTTGGTGTAACAACTCGTTATTTGGCTGTGTGCTGAAATCATTCAATATCAGGAGGTGGTCCGAGCACCCGTTTCTGGCTGTTGGGATCTAAGGTTTCTACAGCATGTGCCTTGAAAGAGGATAGAAATGGAAACTGGAAAATCAGGAAACCTGAAAGGCATTCTCAGCAGAGAGATACTAGCAGTGCAAGAGGCTGCTGCATAGTTTCTCTTCTACTTAAGCCACAAGCCATGTAAGAACCAAAGCCACTTCTGTTGCTTATTTTGCCCTTCTGTGCTGACTGTGATTTCCAGATCTCATTGTCTCTGTGTAAACTGTATCAGTCAAACTCATTAAGTGCTCTTGTCTCTACCTGGCCATGAAATTTCTCTCCCTGGGATTTTCTGGGGCCTTGTCTACGAACCTTCAGGCTGCACAGGAGTCAGTTCTGGCCATGTCCTGTGATGGGTGGTGTTTTTTTTCCTCTCCCGTGTACTGGTAAAACCACTCAAAGTGATACTGAGTGTAACTAAGGGTTGAAACCCAGAAAAAATAGCTGCAAAGGAAATCCTAATGCTTGGTTTCTTTGGGATGACTGTCTGCTTTTTAGTGTGAGGTAGGGTCCTGATACGCAGCTTTCCCCAGGATGTTGCTGTGTACTGGACTGATTATGGGTTTCCTGTACATGTTTTGCTTTTGTATTTTTATCATTTTATGTATCAAGGGCTGTGTAATCCAATGTTCCTGCTTTACTATTGATGTCAAATAAAGTATTTTCAGTAATGATGTCTGGCAGCATTGCTCTGGATTACCCCCCTGGCTAGGTGGGTTTCTGGCTGATGGGGTGGGCTGGGCCATGCCTTAGCCTCCTTGCATTAACTTTCTCCAGCTTTTCCTCCCTCTGTCTTCCCCCTGAGTGAACTTCTCTGTGCTGCAAAATTTTTCCCTGTGTTAGAGAAAGAGATCCTAGAGTCCCCAGTCAACACCAGAAAACAACAGCGTGGTTCCTTTACCCGGGGGTGGGGGGACAGCATGCAAACCCTTCCTCCCTTGCAGGGGATGCAAGCCCTCACTCAAGCCGTTGACTATTTGGGGAAAACAGGCCACTGCTTGCTCCCTGGGTGCCTGTGGATTTGGCTCAAGCAGGGAAATGGAAAAGTCATTCCTGGGAAACTGATTGTAAACATTTGCCTGTGTTCCTTGGCAATTTCTCATGAAAACAGTTTCTGTGGAAGAGATTTTTCCGGCTGCAAGACTGTGGCTAAGGCTAGGCAGCTGGCATGAGCTCCCCAGTGCTCTCCAAGCAAAGGTAGGTTTGCTTCCAGCTGGGAAGAACTACCAGCCTCTGGGGCCAAGCCTGGCACTGTGGGACATCCCTAAGCCCCTACAGTTGTTTGGAGGCATGCTCTGAAGACCATAGTGACAAAGGGCTCTGGAAGAGGGCACTGGCCTTTGCCTGTTTCATCCCAACACGACAGGCTGCCAGGGCACTGGGGACAATGCAGGAGCATCATTGTATGGAAGCTGCCAGCAGACTGGGGTGCTGCAGTAGCCTTGGTGATCCCTTGTGCATCTTTCATTGAGTTTTGGACCCTGAAATGTTGCACAGGAATTGTGGGTGTCACCTTCTCATGATTCAAAGTTTGCTATCTACTGGCAGAAAAATGGTCCGAGAGGGACCTTCTACTTTCTCCTACTTCTGCCCTCTGACTATTGAGCTCTTCCACCTGTCTTCTACATGGTTGGGTGAGGAATGCTCAGGAGTCACACAGCTCAGTGGCTGGAAAAAGCCCTGCATGGAAGTTTTGTCCCCTGCTGAAAGCAGGAGAGAAGTGTCAGCAGGATTTCACCCTTCTCCCTACTGGTTACCAAGGCTTCCCTGGACCAGATCAGCATGTGGCTTGTAAAGGATCCCTTGACTCTTTTGCTGTGAGACCATACCTTTTTCCCACCTCGAGCTTCACCTGCCTGCCAAGGGGCAGGGTGGGTTAGCTGAGGTCTCTGACATTTATCCCACATGTTTACTCTGCTACACTTTCCTGTTCTCCAGCCCGCAGGGGAAAAAAAACCAAACAAATCCACAACAAAAAAGAAACTGTTAGAAGGAAGAAAAGTACTAAGCTGGAGTTTGCTAAACCTTTTAACCCTCTTGGAAGGAGTCTGAAGTGGGTGTGCTTGCCCTTTGTTCTTGCTGTGTGTTTTAACATGGCAGTGCTGACGCTGGATCTGTTCTTATTTGACTACATCCCACATGCAGGATGTCTACGCACCCAGGGACGATGCACGCATATGAGACCTCTGTCTTCTGTTTACCCAAGGCAGCAACCCCACCCCTGGAGCCTGTTTTACTTTTCCATCCGCTGCTCTCAGTAAAACTACCAGCAATGCAGATCAGTGCACAAAAATCTCTGTAGAGCCAGAGGTAACTGGCTTCCCAAGTCTGCACTACATATCGCAGTGAAGAGCTAAGCAGGAAAAATAAGGGCCTTTGGTTAAGTCCGAAGGCTGGATCAGTGGACTTTTCCTCACTACCTTCCCGCCCTTCACATGCTTGAAAATTACTTCCAAGAATTCTTGCTCCATGATTTTTCCAAGGATAGAGGTATTGCTTGCAATAATTTTGTAATTCCAATACGAGGATGGAGGTATTACTGCTGTTTCCCAGGTCTTTCTCCTTGCCCTCCTTAAGGGTGGGCATAATATTAGCTTTTTCATTCAGGCTTTTCCCAATTGCCATGATATTCCACTATGGCTTACAGCACCTTCACTGACATGAACACAGCTAGTTCATATGAATGAGTGTCATCTCTTCCAGTGGGTATGAGTATGCCCAGCTTATCTAAGCAGTCCTTAAACCCCATATTTGGCCTTCTCACCTCCTTCCAAAACTAAGCTGGTGAATGCAGAGATCTTGGAGCAGGCTTTCCTTGTGAAGATCCTACAAAAATCCATTGATCATTGTGAGGTTTTTCATATTGTTCAGCACCACATTGTTTCCTTCACTTTGTCAGTGGATGTGCATTTTCCCCAACTTCTAGAATGCCTGTAGAGTCCTGTTGTTCTGCCTTTGATGATCCTCTCTAGTAGTTTTGATGAGCCTGTCTAGGCTAGATAGTCTTGGACCTGGTCAATACCACTTCCAAGTACCCAAATAAGCAATGTTTACCACATTATTTTGCTATCATATTTCACATTCTTACACCCTTTTTTTTTTTTCCATTTTGGTGCAAGAAGCACCCTTTTTATGGTGCTTCAAGTAGGATTTCTAGTGAAATTCCCTGCCTTCCTGCAGAAGGGAAGGCTTTGAATATTCAAGACGGACACTATGAGAAACCCCTTCCCCAGGAGGGTGGTGCAGCCCCAGGACAGCATACCAGGGTAGTGGGGGTCTTGAACCCTTGAGAGATTTCAAGGGTTGGTCAGTGGTTCCCAGGCTGGGGGACTGATACAGCAATAAACCAGGCCCTCAGGAGCACCAAGCCAGAGCCAACAGAGCAGCAGGAGTGTACAGCACCTGTACAAAAGGACACTGCTGCTTTGGTGGTTGGGAGACAGGGCCATGAATGATGCCAGCAAGCCTGGAGAAGCTTTCAGGGCACTGCTAGGGAAAACATGGAGTCACAGTTGCCTGCCCTTTCCAAACCTGCTTTACACTGTATTTCAATAATCAAAACTTGGCATGGTATTTACCACTGTGAGCATCTGCCTGCTGCAAGAGAGAAAGGGAGGAGCTGTGAAGCTTTCCACGCTTGCATCCAACTCATCCAGGCAAACAGATGCTGATTCCGTGTCTGGAAGCATTTCTTCCAGGTGTCTGTGGAGGTGCTGCTGACTGCTAGCACAAAGGACATCACAATAAGAGCTCATTGACTGTTTTTTTTTTTTTTACACCCTCCAACTTTCTTTCTTTTAAGAGGGAGAGAAACAACTTAGTCAAAAAACGCAAAACATCGGCAGAGTCCCACGTGAAACAGAGACAGGCTGAAAAGTCATCCCTCCAGCAGCACCCCACCTATTAAATGGGTCAGTTTTCTTTTACCAAACCACAGTCTGAAACAAAAAAAAAATCTCATTTGAAACAAAATTAAAAAAAAAAAAAAGCATAGACACTGTATCTTCTCCCATGGTATTTAATGGCCCCTCTAAGGGAAATGTACTGACAAGTCT